GTGATCATAAGCAACTTTAGTTTTCTAAAAGGCCACTTGATTAATTTATATATTGTAATAGATTCGTGTATAATTTGTAGATACATAAAGACTTACTTTTGGTGCAATTATTTCCCTACAATTATGCTCAATAGACAAATATACGAAAGAAAGGAGGGAGATTTTAGAAAAAAACTTTATTTTTAGATTATTGTCAAACGGAGAAATGGCCAATTAGTATTTATTTAACTACTACGAGGGGCATAAAAATAAGATTCACGATCAACCCAAATCCGATCCATTGATATTTATTCAAAATTACAAGTCCCTTAGAATACCTTTTGCTGACACCGGTAGACTGTCATTGTAGTGCCGTCAAGATTTTCTCCTATTGAAAAGTGAACCTCTTACCAAAGATTAAAGGAACAATGAGTCGACCCCACTCAAAATCTGTGTAGAGCACTCCCCCTTGGCCCTTTGTGCACGTTATATTTAGTTGTTTTCTAATTGCCGTACATCAAAGGTTCGGCAACGTATAATGGCTGGTAATTATAGCGCTAAGCCCACAAGTTTACAGATTTAGTTTGACACGTATTCGCGAGGCTTTTTGATCTATTAAATTCAATATTATATTACACAACAGAATACAAGGAATCGCTTAGTTTAAATTAGTAACAACATATTGTAATATAAATGATAACCCAATAAACGCTAATATTTCAAATAATCTTACATTTAAAATATAATTCATTTTATTTTTTGCTCTAATGCAATACAAATCGTGTTAACGGAATATATGTATATGGTAAGGTAAAATATTATTGTAAATAAATTCAATAGTTATCGGCGAAAAATCTAACAATAGTTGACCGCATTTATTTCTAATGGTTAATCCGTGATCATTGGGTGTCCATAGCATAATTATTAACATTTATAAAATATCATCTCGAGTATTGCTGACGATTGTTGAAGGTAAAATAATATACTCAGTACTCATTAGTATTAGGGAACACTGTTAATGGTCGTCGAGTGTAACAACAGTTTCAATACATGTTTTTGGATGGGTTTCTTTGTCGTGTTGTGATCTCTGGCATTACTCAGAATACGACTCCGCGGTTAGGTCAGTAAACACCATCGGGGTTTCTACGGTTGACAAGACAATTAGTGTGATTATTATTAGTATTGTTAGCGGTGAATCATATATTTGATGATCCCTGCTGTACACGGATCGTACATTATGTACATAGGACACTCTGATGAGTTCGATCGGTTGCTGTCAATAATGCAAGCGGTAGACTGTCGACCGTGACGACCCGCCCCACTCGAGGACTTTTCCTTTGACGTTCTCTTGCACTCCGCTCAGAAATGGTTTACACGCAAACACACCCTGTTAAGTTCGAATCCGCTTTGTAAGACCGCGTGGCGTTTGCCGATTACTCGGTACGGTTGCTGTATTGAATCGGATGTTCTGCTGACGATCGGATTAGTGTATTTTCTTTATGTTCGGTCGTCGAACTTACGGCGATCTCCTCGAATCGTTTTGTCAGCCGTCGCGTACAAGCCCGAAAAAATTGTCTACACGAGACGCATGTACGTCAAAATAATTAGGAAGCTATTCGTCTTAAGTGGCATTATTATGATTGTGCATCGCAATGAGACACATACGTTACTACATAAAATATATACTCGATTCGACTGTGGTCGTTATGCGGTACAACTTTATTATTGTTCGAATAATTATTTTGAAAATTATTCTAATGAAAAAGTATTTGCACAAAAAATTGTCTTCCCACATTTATTGGTTTTATATAATTGCTAAATGTAGAATATATGAGATTTATACGAAATTTAATTACTCGAAACAAGCATTTACAAACTATTTTATTCGAATGATGCACAACTCTCCATGTATAATACATATAACCCCTTTACCTTATTCCCACACACACGCGCGCGCGCAAAATGTTAATGTTCGAGAACGCCAATGAGGGTTGGTTTTTGGGTAAAATACATTTTACCAGCAATACTACATTTGTCCCTGCCAATAAAGACCCAAACCAATTTACCAATGGATTTAATATATATAATTCTTTGCTAGACAAGTTGATCGCGCTCAGGGTGTATGTGAACATCGCTGAAAGTTTTCTCGCGCAATTAACTTTGACTATATATATATATATATATATATATATAATGGAAGTATACGATAGTTATTTGGCAAAACTTCAATAGCTTGTGTGCAAACCATCTTCTCTTCGGTCTACTGTCGGCGTTATCGCGTTATAGGCCCGTCTCTCCTACTCGAATGTCTGTGGCATTTGGCCACCTACTCTTTTGTTCTGTATAAATTCTAAACAGAATAATATACGTTCCATAATAATGATAATAATAATAATAATAATATTATAAGTCATCTCTCATTGCCTTATTCCGTTAGCCTTTAAACTTCTTATAGGAAAGCTGGGTGTTTATCTTTTCTGTGGTCGTTATTTACAAAATCCGATTATAATTATTAACTTACAATACAGTACAGATACAGCAGTACCTATACTATCTATATAACACAATACTTGGTTAAATAAAAAAAAAAACAGTACTAACAATATCGTTTGTAATTGAACATTATCAGTGCTGTACGTTTATATTTTACATAAATTATTAGATATGTACATTTCATCGTATTAAATTCACTAACGTAATCGGAATCAGCGGAATTGATAGGACGGGACCCTTGTAATTGAATAGTCATTGAATAATATTAAGTATATATAAGTAAAGGTAAAATTATATTTTCTTGTATTTCACTGATCTCGTTGACGGTCTGTGATGGTTTATAGGCTTCCGAATGTCTGGGTCTTAAATCTAAAGACCATAGTCCTACCTTGACTGTCATAGAAACTCGACGAGAACTTTCATTTATTTTGCGCTGTTAAGGATTATGCGCCCGAAAACAAAAATTAAACACAACTATATAGTAAAACTCGTGTATCTAATAGTATAATATTGTAGTGTGTCCTACAACAATTTGACTTTGTAATATATTTTAGGGAAATTCCTTTTTTTCCGTATAATTTATTTGACTGTAAACTACAAATATTTTATTTTTGAAATAAGTACATATTGTTAGTCTAACAATAAGATAATAACATTTTAGTCGTTTTATTAAAAAGCAATAAAGAAGACAAATTAAAATATCATGTTGACTGGACGAAAACAAGTTTTGAGTGGCAGTTGACGTGCTAACAGAAAAACAGATATTTTGTTGCACTACAACACAGTTATAGAACCACATTATTTTCAATTTACCTATAAATATTAAATACCCCTAACGCAAAGTATACATATAAATATAATAATAAATAGCTTTTTAAGGAATCAGTTAACAATACAGTATACAATTAAGATGTAATTTAAAACTGTACCTAAGCAAATACATAAGCTATACCAATATAATAGTGTGGATATTAATTTAACGGGGGCTTCATCTTAATTGTTATAATTATTATAATTTACATATCTATAATTACTAATTAACCTTTTCCAAATTTGATTTTAAAATTTGAAATTTTGTATAATATTCAAACGTGTTTTATACATAGTAAGAATAAGATATCAAAAAAGTACCCTGACCGATAATAAGTAAACTTCATGACAAATTCAAATCTGTTTTCAGATTACTTATAGGATCACTGGTTCAGCCTGTGCGATTGAACAAAAAGTGTATGTTATATTAACTAAAATGGTTTTTACTCATAGACAAAATAATACCATGAAGCTTATACAAATTAACCGGTAAATTAATTGATATTACCGAAATTGATTAAAACCACTTTTTTCTTAAATATTGCCTATAGAAAACTACTTCAAAACCAACCGCATGCAATCCCCTTAAACCATATTAACTTCTACATTTTGACCAATGTCGTATAAGGACATTCATGCATGTTTTGTTGCCTATGCCTTAATTTACAAGGCAACCGAGAAGGAAATTAATTAAATTAATAATGATTATTTTATTTTATTTTTTTAAATTCAATTTTTAAAGCAATCTCAGTTCTATTATTTTATATACGTTTAAATTATTTTCAATTTTTATAAGTATTTGTATAAAATAAAAAAACCTATATATAATTGTTTTTAAATTTTCTCTACATGCACCTCCATTATTTTTATTGAGTTAGAATTGTAAAGCAATATTGATCATGATCAACTAAGAAAACGAAGATCAATCAGTCTCTCAGGACAGTTTTCCTAAATGCGACACCAAAAAGGTGCGCTTACTAATGCAATTAATGTAATAAATACAACAAGTAAGACTGCTATGAGTGTAAATGAATAAAGGCGTAAGATACGGGAGAGATTAAGTGTACAAAAGAAATGTTTAACCACATTCAGTCTGCAATTGATGAGCTTGAAATAGCCAACGTCGAAGAAAATTAAAAGGAACGAGAGGAATTTTAAGAAAAATACATTAAAATCATGGCGCAACTAGATAAATTAATTGAAGATTTTAGCAAATCAATCGAAACAGAATGACCGTCGTTATAAAAAATATGTCAGAGATGTTAAATGAAACTTTGTGTGCAGAAAAAGGCAATTACTTACCTGACATGACATTGCCTACCTTTTCTGGAGAATATAAAAAATGCCCAGCATTTAAGAACATGTTCACTTCATTAGTTAACGGAACTGAATCAAAATATTCTATGATTCAACGTTTTCATTATTTTAGGTCATGTCTAAAAAGAGAAGCTTTTTCAATTATAGAAGGTTTAAAAATGTGTACACTTAGAGTACACCTAATCACAAACCAAACGGCACGTTTATTTAAGTCACAAGTTGAACAAGTGAACATACTTATTTCAGCAGGTGGAAATGGAAAAACTCATTCCAGATCAATAATATCGTTAACGTTTGACAAAATATGTCGAATCCCATAATAAAATTAAAAAATCGACAATGGTGGCCTCTAAATGGCCCAGTATTTGCTTATTACTAGACCATAAATAATAGCATCGGTCTTATAAAAAAATAAATTTTATTACGGTACATTTTAATTTTTATTCTATTAAAGAACAATGTCTAAGTAAGTATTAGACAGCATGTTATAATATTATCACTTCATTTTTTTATAATTATGATGAGTAAATATATTATTAGTTTTAATACAATTTAATAATTTTAATTATTGTTTTTAGCGTTTTTCTTAAAATATCTTCTTATTGACCATTGACTGAATCTGATGGAGCTGGAAGCAAATCAAGGTTTAGGACTAGCTTAAAGTTCCAGAAATATAATCGCTGTTCATCATCTGAAAATCACCAACATAACAAAAAATTATTGCAAAATTTTACTAAATAAAAGTCTACCGACATTCTGAGTATCAAATTGTTGATTGTTATTACATTCTAACTAAGTACATACCTACAGTGAAAGACATGATAGCTAATACAATTTTTAGCATTTTAATACTTTAATTAACCGTGAATTTTAAAATATTTACATGATACAAATATAACCCAACTTTGAGTGGTTAAATATGATGGAGGTTTCGATCATACCTTTAGCTTCACAACTTGTACAATTTTCAATTATTAGGTATTTGTAATTGAAGTAACTTGTACTTATACATTACTGTGAATTTTTGTAACTAGTAGTCTAAAACATTATTTTGCCATAGATTATAATCTAGAATATTATATATCATCGAAATAACTGTTAAAAATCAAAATGTATGATGAAATCATGTTAGTAACGGTCTAAGTCTAATTTTTAGCATACTTCCGTGTATCGAAATACAAATTAATTAATTACAGGTTTTTTGTTATTGTGATGGATCACGTTAATTTTACTAAATAAAAACGTAGACAAGGTGTGATGAGCAAGGCGGATACAAAGACTTTAAACAACATTGTGCAAAGGATTTTAGTAGCAGCTAGCCGGTACTAAGACTAGGATGGATGGCTATCAGAAATAGATTTAAGATTTAAAGAATAAATATGCACCATTTGTAGTGTATGCAAAACAAATGCAATATTTGTTTGATAAATAAACGATATAGACCAGAATGGCTGTACTTGTCGAATTATCCACACCCGATGCTTTGTTTAACAAACAAACATAAAGTTGAATTTGGTTACAATATAAACCGAATAAATAGGGAAACAGTACATAGTAACGGTAATTCTTAGGTGAAACTAAGTAAATAAAAAAAATACTTTGATTATAATCGTAAACTTATGAAATGTATTATTATTACGAGTATTAATTGCAATTAATAAAAATAAGCTTACCATAATCATCTGCGTATCTATTCATAATTGTTTCTATTTGAGTTATAGTTTTCTGGTATCTTGGTCCACAATAGTATACAATCAAGTCGCCAAGAAGAATATAGTCTCTGTCCTCATCTTCTGGGATTATTTCATCAAATTGAGCCTCAATCCGCTAAAAATATTTTTTTAAGCTTTTACAAAATTGATATAAAACAAATGTTCCCAATAACGTAGAATAAAGTAGAAAACGTTATAGCTGACACCTATAAATTAATAAAGCTATATTTTATGTCATTACTTTGATAATAAAATAAATATTAGGATTCATTATAACTCTGATTTAAAGATTACATTAGTTTAGGTAGCTAAAGAAATTGTTCATATAGTAAAATAATTTATTGTGATTGTTCTGATCTCTTGTTGATATCCTGTTCTTATCTGGTTTGAGGGACTAGCTACCCCAGAATATGGTTTTAAATTACTTGGTTTGGTAAAATACTGGCCAGTAAACAGACTATCTTTCGGTAGTCGTACAAGAATTCCTAGCAACAACTATTGACATAAAATATAGCAGTCATAGGTTAAAAGGTGTCATTAATTTTTCATTACTTTTTAATGTAAATTTAAGAATATTCCATCTGTTTAATTCATTATTACCCCTACAGAAGTTATTGTTGTGCGTGCCTAATTTTATCATCATAAATAACATAATTATTAAAACATTACGCTTAAAGAAAATTTCGGTATGAAGCCTGCATTTGAAACTGCCGATAACTGCTCTAAATTCATCGTGTAAAAATATCTGGAACCTAGATATCATCACACAATAAAAAGTAAATTTAAAAGAACGTATTACATAATATATAGTATTAAATTTTTTTATAATAAAAAATGTACAGTTTATAAGAGTTTATTTTGTTATTGTTATTTGCGGTAATTCATACTAGTATTTAATATTGACCATGTATGGACATTTCATAGAAAAGACAAAAAACGACCACAGTAATAAACATAGTACAAATAAGTACATAGCACATAGTACAAATAATTATGTATACAAATGAGATCATTTTCCGTTTTTCGGACTTTCTACGAATTTTCATCTCTTTTTTTTTTTTTAACATTTTCTTAGAAATCCCAGTTTGAAATTTACACATTTTATAGTTAGATTTTTTTCTTTAACATGTACAATATAGTATGTTACATTTAGAGCTCAAATATTTGCATTATGATTACCTTTCCTATAACGAGTTCCAAATTCTGTCATCATGAACTCAATGTCACTTGTATCTTTGCCCTGAAAATAAAAAAACATTCGTTCTTCGGTAATTAAATCATCATCACCACGTATCCTCTCAAATAGATCTTCTATTGCCTAAAAACAATAGTAAAACATAAAAGTAGCCATTAATAAAAATAAATTCTTTTTTTTTTTTTTAACTTAATTGATTAGCATATTTTTACAATCGTATTAAAAGTTATAAAATAAAACTTCAATATCGGTTAAAATATCCGTCGGTAAAATTGTATTTCTATTTTTTTAATAATTCGGTAAGTTAGTTTATAATCTATGTTAGATTAAGCTTATATTTTATTTTTTAATACTGGTCGATATTAGTTTTTGAAATTTTGGAGTTATTGTGGTTTCATTTTGTAGACAAAATAAGACATTGAGGTAGGTGCGTACAAATATATTATTTATTTGCGTGCCCTAACTACAGTAGTTCCCCCCGCCCGAGTCTCATCTTAAATACAAATAAAGACACTATCATACAACTTGTAAAATGTTTAAAAACTTGCTGTTTTTGAAATTTGTATATTTTTTTTGTCGATTAATTTAACATTAAAAAGTTATTTTTAAGATATCAGTTTCCCCAGGATAATTCATAAAGTTTGATGCTGTGTGTTTAGCTTACCGAACATTATAGTGTATTAGTTACTAATATTTAAAAAATTACTTAGTTCCTTATAACAATAGTAATGATTTGAAATAAGCATAAGTCAAAAAAAATATAATTACCGGATCATAAGACTTTATTTTTGGAATAAATTTTAATGATAAACATAATATAAAAATATACGTCGTATTCATTATTATATTTTCGCACTATTTTAGATTAATTAAGCATTAAGTAAGACTTTTAACTTTTTAAATCGATCACAACAATGATTCCTATGATCAGTAATAGCCGATTTTATAGACAATTTATTGAAATTATTATTTATTTAAACGAACTACAGTTTGTCAAACGAAACATCATAAAGTTATTCGTTTTGTGTTTTTTTTACATCTCCAAGCAAAATATTGGTATCTAAAAAGCGTTTACATAAAACTAAATTAACAGACAACTACCATATTTTTATTTATGTGTTAACTATTTTAAATCATTTTTCCTACGTTGAAATGATATAATTGTTTATACAACAGTAAGTTATAAATATTCCTAAATAAACTACTATCAACACTATTTACACAATTTGTGGATATTCCCACTTGAGTAGTTTGACTCGTCTGCCAATAAGGTAAATTATATTCCACTCAAGTTTTAATAATTTTTTTAAACTACTACCTATTAGTTTTGCAACTAGGGTAAAAACTTTGGTATACGTATAATTTATATTTAATTAAAATATTTTTATTTGGGTTGCTGAAATGCTTTGTACAAACTTTAAGAACTCGTAAAGTATTTCATTGTGTTAAATGAATACAAGAAAAATATATTATTAATTGTAGAAATATACTAAAGGTTACAACCTAATTATTTTGTCTTGTATAACTTACATTAATATTATTGTTCATCGCATTATAAATCTGTAGCCACGAGTTAAATAGGAATTATCGTTATTCGACTCATCGCCCGTTTTTTTTTTATTACATTGCAAAATCACAACAGGTGTTTTTCACCTTGCGAATAGTTTTCAACTGCAAATAATGACGATCAATAATTATTATTGACTTCAAATGCGAACAAGACAACGTATATATTGTAGATTATTAAAATTATTCCATGTATACACGTGTTATTGTACTATAAAATCTGTTCAATATTTTCAAATCTTTTACATACAATTGAAATTTTTTAGAAAAACTCATAACGACGCCCATAGCCATTCGTGAAAATTCGTCTTTGATCATATTTGTCGCCTATTTCTGCCAGAGGCTCAACTCGCCCACCCATTGTGAATTCTTATTTTATGAGACTATTGATGATAAAAATACATAGTTTCTCGAACCAACGGCGACAACTATGTGAAAGAAATCACTTTGCAAACGTACTACTAATACAGACAACCTCGACGACGTCTATACAGTACACGTGTCGACTGTTGTGCAGTTGCGAATAAATAGTGAACAAATTAAATATGTACCTAGATCAAATTAATTATTTTGTAACCTATTCTTATATTAAGTTCGTATACCGCAATTTGAACAGTACAAGGTGTATACATGACATATTTACATATTATGTGGTCGCATCAATTTACAAAAAATCACCAAGCTTCAACTTAAAAGTTCAAGATGTATTACAGAACATTTTCGCATAAATTACTACTACTGTATTTCGAGCAATATTTTCAAAACTATCCCGCTCGTGCGTATTCTAATATAATCGTTTTTATGATAACTGCACAAGAATAAATACAAATTAGATTGGCCAAAAGAAATATTTATTTAGATCAATACTTTGTTTTTATTTTATTCCAAAGAGGTCAAACTACCAATGTCACTACTCATTTTATTATCGACTGTCGTTACATTACATTACATTATTTTACTGCATGAATACTTAAAAAAAAAGAAAAGCAGTAATTTAGTTGTACTTAATTAAGCTACTATTAACACTGCAGGAACGTTTTAATCCATCACTCAAATGGTGTGGTTTAATTGTGTTTCGTATTAGGTATAGAAAAGCTGTTATTGTTTCATTAGAAACGATTTTCATATAATATTTATACATGTATACAGTACACCACATAAGTTTGTAACAAAAATTGTTTTCAAAAAATTGAAGTGTGCTATAATTTTAAGTTAAAAACTGTGGAAACTGGTCTTATTTTTAAAAGGAATGCAAAATTATTGTTTGCATTTTCAAGTTGGGTCTAAATTAGAATATGGAGTAATAGTATAGCATCCTTATTTAGTTTAGGATTATTTTAGGCTCGAGTACACAAGACTGTTAGTTTTTAATTAAGATTTTGACAATATTTGCCGTTTTTTTAAAAACCGGCGTTTCCTAATACTAGAAAATGAATATCACCGTCGGGCTTATAAAAAAAATGAACGATAGCAAATATTATTTAGGTATATTTTTATAATTATTCAATTAAATGACATTATTAAACAATGTTAATATATTGTTTAATACTATTAAACGGCAAATAAACGTATAACTTGAGTCTCTTATTATATACATAAATAAATAAATAATTTATAAGTTTCAATACAATTTAATAATTTGTATAATCATATTAGCGTTCCTTTTAAAATAACATCTTATCGGCGACCGTCTGTAACGCATTTTCATCGCTGCGGCGCTGGAAGAAAACCAAGGTTTAGTATACGCCTAAAGTTAGGGAAATATAGTCGTGACTCTTCACCATCTGAAAATAACCAACATAACATAAATGTAATTTATAAATTACTAAAATATAATATACATGTATGCCAACTTTCCTAGTGTCCAAAGTCAAAATGCGATAGCGGTTAAATATAAATGATATTTAAAAATCATACTTACCAATCGGTTCTGCGAATTGATTCATAATTGTTTCCATTTGAGTTCTAGTTTTCTGGTATCTTTCTCCACAGTAGTATTCAACCAAGTCGTCGAGGATAATGTAGTCTCTGTCTGAACCATCTGGGATTATTGCTATATATAAAGCATTTATGACCTAAACATTGTTTTTAAATACCTACAAACTGTATACAAAACTATTTTACAGTAATATTTATTCTTTATGAAATGCTATTCTTCAAACTTCTAACTTAACAAAGCTATAATTTATGCAAATGTATTTGAAATAAAATAAATGTTCAGATTTATTTTATTATAAATTTTAACATTAAGTAGGTTAAATATTTTTACACTAACAATTCTAATTTTATACAAGTTGATTTTTATTATTATAAATTAATATAACATAATCCATATAACATTACTTGTCTGCGAAATTTTGGTATGTCACCTCCATTTGCGGCCCTCAGAAACTGTTCAAAATCCATTATGAATTCACCTAGAAATGACCACAAATTTTATAAAAACGTATTAGAAAGATTTAGTTTTTCATAATATTATAATGTTTTAGAGTTTAAAACTATTTTTTTTTTGTTACCGTCGTACTTAAACTATTATTTAATGCACATACTTTACTTTTTTTTTAGATTCTTTTCGTTATCAGCTTACATAATATTATGTTACCTCTAGAGTTATTAAATGATAAAAAAATAGCATCATGATTACCATTTGCCAACTGGGTTCCGTGAAAAGCTAGCACGCGCCTAATTTCTCTTGGTTCATCACTATGTACAAAGCGCAGCATGTTATCGAAAGTAATAAAAGAATCACCACTTCTTATCGCATCGTATAGATCTTTTACTTGCTAAATTACAATGATATTATTAGTGATTCACATTTATAAATATTTTTAAATAAATTGATCGGCACATTTCCACTATCGTATGAAAAGTTATAAAACGAAAATTCAAAATTGGTTTAAATTTAATTCAGCAAGTTATAACATAATTACTTCAAAAATATTTTGAAATTATTTTACGAGTCTCGCGAGGATTTGACCTACAAAGATAAAACCTAGGGAAACATTTTTTTCTGTCTAATTAAAAAATGTGTTTATTTTTAACTTATTGATTTTCCTGGATTACTTTTACAAATGTAGAAAACTTAAGTTAAAATTATTATTTTAAAAAAATGTGAATATATTTTACGAGGACATAATACGTTTGTATAACGCATTCTAAAGAAATTAATATGTTTAAATTCTGTTTGTTTTTCTAAAAAAAAAAAATGGTTAGGTAAAAAACAGTAAAACAATTTAAAAAAATGAATTTTTAGTAAAATAATGTTCAAGTAGATATGTCAATATTGCTCCACATAAAAAAATGTTTATGTAAAAAAAAAAACAAAATAGTAATGATGATTTGTTAATATGCATAATATAATGTTGGAAAAATTATAATTACCTGATCATAAGTATTTACCTTTGAAATACAAAAATACGTTAAACACAACAAAATAATGTACATTTTTTTATTTTTTTGTAATGTTAAAGACTATTCAATTTTAACTTTATGAAACCTATCACATAAATTAATCCTTTGCACACAGCCAGTTTTATGGTAAATTGTTTTAGATTATTGTTTATTCAAACATTTGTTTTTGACAAAATAATAGACACTACAGTTACTGCACAAACACAGTAAATATCAAAAACGATTATACTGTTTATCGAACAAGGTATTTTTGCGCTAATAAATATAGATTTTTTTTTCGTCCGTAAGCTTATACAGGTGTCTAAAGAACGTATACAGTATTTTACATTTGTAGACGTCTACCATGATTTTATCTATGTAAACATTGAAAACTAAAAGGCACATTGTACAAAATGGCCAGGGGCTCGTTCAACAATAAAAATGTTGTGGTTGGGGTAATAAAGTTATATTTATTTAAGTCCCTACCTGAAATTATGTATTTATTATAAATTAAAAACTTGAACATTTCAATACTTTCTGAAAACATACTTTATCGCTTTATAGCAAGTGTTGGCATAACGTAAATCGGTATAATTACAATTAGAACAAAAAAAACCATACATCATGACTATGATTATGTATCGTGCATGTGTAACGCAGAAACAAAATAAAAAACTAATAGTTTTGTATGAAACATTTATCTAATAGGTTTTTTCTCAGTTTCTATAGGGAATTGTGAAAAGAAAAAAAGGTAAATAACTTTATTATGTTTCAATTATTTTGATTAAAATGCTCAAGATTAGTTTAACTCAAATTATTAGTTAAAATCATGAAATATTATAAGTAAAATAACATTTTACTTAAAACAAAAAATGAATTTACTAGTACAAATACTACTTCAGTTATCTGTTTAGTCAAAATGTTAGTCTATAGTTTTGTTACAATGTTTTGTAATAAAATACAAATTAATGATTAGTTTTATTTTTAATGTTAAATTAATAAAAAGCTAAACAAATAGTGTGACAGTGTAAATTTTTGGGAGGTTTTGCTAAAATTATGTTTCAGTTAAAGTAGTTTTCATGTTTGTAAAACAAATTAAATTTAGTAAGAAAAGGAAACCGGTAAACTTCGGTATACTAATAAAATCTACGCAGAAATATGATAGTAACTATACTTTCTTTGAATTCTGAAGTACCATAATATAGTCCTATTATTACGATAACTGCAAAAGAACCAATACAAATATCCGTTTATATTGACGCAAACAGTCCACGATGAATATGTTTGTCTATGCAATAATATTAATCTGTTCGTATATAAAGCTTCGACGAAGTAAAACCATTTATTATTCTGGAAAAGACCCGGAGTGTAAATAATACGGAATAATTTATGTATTATATAATGCTATACCAGGAAAAACGGTTTGAAATAATAATTATTTAATCCATCTATTATAATAATAATAACATGTAGATTCAAAACGAAAGCCGGCACGCGTTAAATAAATTAGTTGACATACAGAGGTTAGGGCGAGGGAAAGATATGTCAACGAGAGACGAGAGCTGATGGCCTAAGCGAAAAACGAAATTGGGTGGGTTTTGACAATAATTAAGGTTTGTTTTACCCTGAACAAATTTGGTCGGTGGAATATTTTATTTACATTGGCCATAGTTGTCTCTCATCAATTAGGCTTTAAAATGGAGGAAATCGCACTCTACAATAATTGCGAGAAAGCCTCTCGGATACTACACAAAACGTCCAACAAAAAACATTGTTCACCTTTGGACAGTGTTTGACAAATCTCAACTCGTCTTTTAACAATAAATAATATCACTATTATCGAGACTATATTCGTTCGATCGTGAATATTATACATACCGTTACAGATGGCTGGTTGTTTTTATATAGGAGTTCATAAGTTAATAAATTATATTTAATAAAAAATTCGGTGACTAATTAAAAAATATATTGACTTTGTTTACGAAGCTCAGAAAGTAATGTATGTTTTACTCGAATAGACTTAATAACGATCCAGTCAGGTCAGAGTACAGGTTCCTGTTAGGATTTTTTTGTTACTACAAAATCTGTATAGTGCACACAATGAATGGAATTTGCCAAAGACTGACGTGGAGTAGTAATAATTATTAACCGAGATACTTCCAGTCGGCGGCGGCTTGGCTGTGCAAGTATATGGTTTTCTCGAGAAAAACGGATTATCTAACGGCTGCTGTTGTCTTCTCGGCGCATAGTTTCCGTGTAATCAATCTTCTACGACGACCCTCGCTGTTACGTTAGATGTACGTCTTATAACAATATATATTATTATATGATTAGAAAACTAAATGCCCGTATCCGTATGCTGCCGCCGAGGCCTTTAAAAGTAGGTCAAACAAACGCATATACGATAAGTTTGTACACAACACTGACGAATCACGTCAATTATTGGATTTGCAGTGTACACCCGATTTTAAGTAGTCGGCAAAAGGGTTCGCGAGGGAATGAATAGTAAATGAACATAATATATATGGTGGGTTTAATGGCGGGTGATCGGACGGAGTGGAAAGAGACAACCGAGTGTTGGCATTGTGTTTATAAAACGATTAACACAACATTTTGTACGCGAAATTAAAATGGGTCAAGATGTACGCGATGGAACCAAGTACGCATAGATAGGTGGTGCTGAGATTTATGGGTGACGTCACAGAAGGACCACGGTAAACGGTTAAGGGTTACATATCATATTATTATTTTTGTGTATGCGTACTGCAAGACATATTATAGTAATGTCGACGTTATCGAAACAGAGACAATGGAAGTTTGGACGCTTTTGTCGGCGAATTTAATTTCCATTGTATATATATATATATATATATATATATATAAGAATAAGAAAAAAAACCACTCCAGACTGAGATTTTGCGGAAATTATTGGAGAAAACGCATAAATTTGGACGACCACAATCGTAGCGGCCGATCGTGAATAATGTGGCCGTAAAATGAAGTAGACAAAACCGACCGTTACAACAATACACAAGCCGATCCGGTAAGTACACGGATAACGCTTTGTGTGTTCACAGATAGGGTGGTTGAAATGATAATTGTTAAACCAACTGCAAATATCAGTTACAGTACACACGACGACAAAAAAAACAACTACAACAATAGTACCTAATATAATATAGTACAGCCATTTCGAGTCATTAGACACAATATAGCTGAAAATTCACTGTGCGCCTAAACTGTGTTTTCATCTTGGACTACAATTGGAATACAACATTAAAAGTTCAGCGCTAAGACGGCGCGGCGTCACCGATGGCTTAATTTTCTGTTTTTTTTTTTTTTTCACAAGCTACAATGTTCGAATATTTTCGCTCGGTATTATTTTTTTTGTCGTTTATAAAAAATACTAAAAAAAAAAAAATCATCGAAATTACACGACTCGCCGTCTTTCGCTTAAAATATACAAAATACAACTACAATAATTCCGGGAAGTAAGAATTGTTTACTAAAACATTCCAATATAAAACGGATTCCGCACGATTTTTTTGCACTGTTTAATAATCGTTATGCTCCCGGGGCTTGACCTCGGCGTTGCACATAAATCCGAACCCTCGTCACAGCATCGTCCAGGCTTAATAAAAACAATATTAATTTCAGTATCGGATGTTAGCGAAATTTAGATTATTTCAAAGAAACAGCATGACGTTATATTATCATAATCAATTATGTCAGAAGGGAAAAGTTTCAAACAACTTAATAAGTACGACGGACTTGAATTCATCTTTAAACGTATAGAAACTATATTACGAATGAATAAATTCAAAGAAAAATATTATAACAATAAAAAAACGTCTATTTTTTAGAATAAAACATTTTCATATTAGACCCGAAAATCTTTCATTCTACAGAAAACAGGTTTTGATTACACAAAAACAAAGTATGTTTTGACATACTATTTCTATTCTGCACCTACAAATTTAACCAAACGGCAAGCACGACGGTTTGGCTTAAGAATATCAAATTTTTTTACAGATGCATGATATTGTTGTTTTTCCACTTTGCTTTCGTCATACGAGTAGCTCAAAACATACAATTTCCTTTGGGAATTTTTTGGTTCAGCAGTTGTTAAAAAATAGCCGAGAACAAGACAGACGCGATAAGAAAAAAAACTCATGTACAACGTACGCTGTATAGATATATTAAAAATAATACCGAAGCAGGTAAACGGAATAGGATAAAAAATAATGGAATTACTTTAGGAAATGTAAGGCACTCGGAGAGAATCCCTTATGGATTTTTAGTCGATATTGTTTTATCGCGTTATACCTCTATCTTGCGGAAAATAATATAGTAACAATAATAATAATCATTATCATAGGTCTATTCCCGTCGTAAACGATTACCGACCTACGTTGAAGCACGCCGAACAAGCATTTTCAATTTATATATATATATATATATATATATGTATGATAAACTTCCACGGCAAGCCAAACGAAAGAGTACGTTTGACAGGTATATGCGTTTAGTTTTCGATTTGATTCGCGGTAAGATTGATGACTTTTAGAACGGATTCGTTTCCGGGTTACCGGAATACTACCGTATCCGCTGATTTATTCTGTATGTCCGCCAAACAGAACAGATCACTTTATTAATGGTACCTTATTAATGGAAAACGAGAGAGAGACGGAGAAACAGATATAGATTAATGGTAGTGTCGAGCGCCTCTTGTTTTTTTTTTTTTTTTGTAACTTGCACAATGTGTAAAACGTACATTTGTGTCAGCGTGACAACGAGGTCACGTTTTCATAGCATTGTCTCTATTAATATAACAATAATAATAATAATTATCGCCATAATATGGTTTAATTAACGCGGTCTGTCTATTTATTAGAGTTGTCGCATGAGCTGTTGTTTGGTGCGGAACTGGAGATTGCTTCCTATTTTCTATTATTATAAATGGCGTCATTGAACTTTTGCCCTGCCACTTTTTTGCATCTTTTCGCATTTGGGCAACGGTAAACGAACGTAATTGCGCGTTATTTTTACACCGAGTTTCAACTGAATAAACCGTTGTCTTTCTTCTCGACTCCAAGACATTACATTTCATTCATACATGAGCGCACGGGGGCTGTGCAGTTGGTACGGACGGTAGGCAATGAGATTTATGTCCGTATTCTTGCTTATACAAATAAATCTTTCTCGTTCACTTATATCGGATAAACATCGTTTATTCAGCGCGCCAACAGTGTCCGCTGTACAGTTAAAAGCAATAATATACCTACACTCGACTTATCGAACAAACAAACAAAAAAATTGGAACGAAAAAAGGTATCATTGGAAAAGGTTTATCGTTACATTGATTTCCGGATGAAAACGTTTAGCCGATGTCCTTCACTTTATATGATATTATAGTTGACCGAAAACCCCCGCTACACGGTTAATATAATGAAATAATAGTAAAAACGGATTAACAAACATCGAAGCTTCCATTTTAAAAAATTCTACCTAAAAATGTAACTTCTTGTATAATTCGTAAGTATTCTATGATATAATATTTAATAATTTTTTTAAAAATATGTTTGTATTTTAAATGTCATTATAAGTTTTTTTAATTTTAATTTATTTTCTATTTTAATTTAATTTTAAATATTTTAAAACCGAGATCTTAGTTTTACCATTATTATAATACTATAATAGCTGTTAGAGAACAGATTTAAAATCATGTTTTATAACAAATTAATAAAAAACAAAATAGAAACTCCGTGTATGCAATTTTACTTCTTAATTGTATTATTTTGTACGACGTGCACCAAGTATTTAATAAAAAAACCAATACCTTAATCTTAGTAAAAACACTATTTCGGTTTACTCGCTGTCTATAACTCTATAAAATGTAGCTCATATTAAGCAACGTGACCTTAAATTATTCTACCCAAGCATGTATAAAAAAAAACCGAGAAAGTAGTTGAACAGACAAATATACATAAATTATATTATTTAAATCATCAAAAACATTAATAATAGGTTTAGCAAAAAAAATAATATATGTGGCAACGGAAATATTGGAAACTCAAACGGACATGGCTTAAGTGTGTATTTTCTTGACGGACTTGTCCACCGTGATTTTCTTGCCGTTCTTCAAGGTTATCGTTCGGTACTTGGTCATCACCTCGTCGGCCAAAGTGGGATTTTCGAAATCCACCGTGGCGCTATTGAACTTCTTGCTCTTCGACGTCTTGGGTTTGAAGATCTGCACGTCGGACAGCGCGCCGAATTGGCCAAACAGTTCGGCGAGCTCGTCCGTCTTCACCGACTTGGGCAACTTGCTTATGTACAGCTGCTGTTGGTCAAAGGCCGTGGCGTCGGACGAGCATTCCGGAAGTGTCGGCACGTCGCCGCCCGCCGTCGGGTCCGCCGAGTCGTTGTCGTCGTCGTAAACGTAATCGTAGTCGTCCACGACGCGGTCGTCGAACTTCAAAACGGTGCCGATCACCACGGAGTGGCCGCCGGCCGCCGCACGTCTCACCACCGTCGACTGGACGAACACGCGGTCGTCGCATCCCGGTTTGGTCGTCCGGACCACGGACAACACGGCCAGCCGCCCGGCGCGCACCTCGATGGTGTCCACGGACAGGACGGTCAACGCGCACTCGTCGTACCGGCAACGGGTCAGGAAATCCGCGATGGCGTCCACGCCGACCAACAGCAGGTCCGGGTGTCCGTGTCGCAAGTACAAAAACTTGGACTGTCGGTTGTAGAACGGTCGGCACGCGTCCACCGGCACGTCCGCGGACGCCAACTGCAGTAACGTGTCGTAATAGGCGCGGACGTACTCGCGTCCAAAGTCTGTGACGTCCACCGGCGGGTCGGCCATTGAATCCGTTCAGTGAACAAACGGCTTATGTGAATCAAAAAACCAAAAAAACAATGCACTTATTCGAACAAAATGCGTGCGAAAACAAAAACGAAACTATAACTTATTCGCACAATAAAAAAAAAAACTAGAATTATAAAATTCGTTCACTGAAAACGACACACAAATAATTATGTTCTTCGTAACCATAGAGGAACGCAATGTGTCGGTGACGCGCACAGTAAATATTCCACGGATTACTCGAACAACGGAGGTTCGACAGTCGATGGCACGCCATATAACGGATGACAAATGATATCTTTGGGATATATTATTTATAATTGTCCGATGGCCGTTTGCTCCAACTATACTTAAATTTTAAGCAAAGCTTAACCTAAAGTTTCAGTATTGTTAAACTACCCTTAGATTTTATGTATAGTTGGTGCAAACGGTCACGATTAGTTAGAATACTATAGTCAAGTTAATCATAAACAAACAACGCTTCGTTCGTTAACGAAATCAATGCGGTTCAAAGGACACTAGGAAAGTTTAACTAACTAGTACATAATATAACACAGAGCGATCACAATTGCATTATTTTACAACAGTCTAAATCTAGTAAAGTCTTTATTATATTTAATAATAAAAATGTCCAATGTACAAATTAATAGTTGTGAAAAAAAAATAATCTGTTTTAATCTCGAATTTAACTGTTTTTTGTGTATTTAGCAGTATATATATACTTGTAAAAACATTTATATTTTAAAACAACTAGACTTCTAATAAATAAATTAAAAATATTCCTTCTAAAACCTTTTCATTACTAAAATTTCTTAGTATTCTGTTTTCGAGACCTACTTATTATTAAACTATTGTTCCGCCAGTGCCTTTTCCGTTGTTCTCACCAAACTTCCAACACATTTAAACGCTCATCCACTAACAAAATAAACACCAAGGTACATCGCGTTGTGCCCTTCGTATCTAATACTTAGAAAAAGATTTTTGGGCTTTTTACTGCTTCCTGGTGACAAGTTCAATCTAGTTTAGAATAGCAAATCTAACTTGGACTATAATGTAATCTACTATGATAAAAAAGTGAAAATATAATGTTTGATATTGTTTTGTTTCAGGTACTGGTCATGGCCGGTGATATGACCGGGGAGGCATTTGTTAGCTACAAGAGGTTTGCGGATCGACAGGCCGAGGTATGCTGTCGTCGTCGGTTTCGGTGGCCTGCAGTCTGATGGCCGTGCTGTCGGTGAGCGTTCTGTGCGGCGCGTGGGCCGATTGTCCGGCGTCGTGCGAATGCATGTGGCGAAGCGGCAAGGAGTCGGCCATATGCACGGAAGCCAACATGACCGCGGTGCCGCGGCACCTGGACTACGGCACGCAGTTGCTCGACCTGGCTGGCAATCCGCTGTACCGGCTCGGCAAGGATGTGTTCGTCGAGGCAGACTTACTGAACCTGCAGAAACTGTTCATGTCCCGGTGCCGCATCAGGACGTTGGACCGGTACGCGTTCCGCAAACTCACCAATCTCGTCGAGCTGGACTTGAGCCACAACAGCCTGGCGGTGGTGCCGTCCACCGTGTTTGAGGAAATACCCGAGCTCCGAGAACTGCGACTTAACGGAAACCCGTTGTTGAAGGTGCCTAATTCGGCGTTTAGGCACGTGCCCCGTCTGGTCAAGCTCGACCTGTCCGAGTGTCGGATAGCTCTGTTAGAGTCGACGGCGTTCGCCGGGCTGGAAAACTCACTCGAGTGGCTCAAACTCGACAACAACCAGCTCAGGGACGTGAAACCTTCCACGTTGGTGTCGTTGGCCAAGCTGCACGGCGTTCAGCTCAACGAGAACCCGTGGAACTGTTCGTGCAAGTTGCGGCCAATCCGTGAGTGGATGGTCAAGAGAAACGTGCCGTTTGGCGCACCACCCGTGTGCAAATCACCGGCGCGACTGTCGAGGATCTCCTGGGACAAGCTGGAGCTGGACGATTTCGCTTGCGAGCCGCACGCCAATCCGGTGATGTCGGTGGTGCAAGTGACCGAGGGTGATAACGCTACCGTGTCGTGTCGAATGTCGGGCGTGCCGTTGCCGACGTCTCGGTGGACACGTAACGACAGGCCGATCGGCAATAACGGCCGCAGCGTGCCGGTCACGTCGGGCCGATACACCAATCTGACCATAGTGTCGGTGGTAGCCCAGGACGGTGGCAGTTACACGTGTCTGTTGGAGAACAGGTCGGGCAGCTCCAAGTCAAACATCACCGTGGTGGTGATGAAACGATCACCCGAACTGACGTTGGCCGCTGACCGATTCGCGCTGCCCGGGCTCATCGTTGGCGTCATTTTGGTGTTGTCGTTCTGTCTGATATTCCTTTGCGGGTTGGCCATCCGCACTAAAGGCAACCCGACCAGGTTTGCGGACCGCGGTGGCACGTTCGACAGGTACGAAAAAATCGAAATGAACCACAAAGTGGCCGACAACCATCAAACGCCGGTGGCCCAACCGCAACCAGTGGACAAGGCCTGCGAGAGTAGGCCCGACCCGCCGGATTACACAGAATCGGTGGCTGCTACGGCAGCGGCGGTGACGGCGTCCAACAGGATTCCTAAAGACGACGAGCCAACGGTACAAATCGTCCAACCTGTGCCCGAACCAGACTTACCGCACCGCGTGACAAAACCGTCACCCGTTGCGCCTCATAGGTAAGTTCGGTTTCAACTGTATAATGAAGATCAGCATACAACATTGTGACAGCTTGCTAGCTAATATCATGTTAACATAGTTAGGTTAATGAACTAAAGGTATATTTTATTTACAAAGTCGAATCGTTTACACCACATGTCCTAAATTTGTGTTTTTCTTAACACTATTTGTTTAATAATTATCTGTTGTCACAAACGAATGGTCAATGTTTACACAGTAATACCAAAATACAGGCCTCACCTGCAACGTCAGGTGATTGAAAAAACTAGACAGATTACATTGACCAGAATTATTTATATTCTTTATATTTTTTATTACTTATACTCGGTGTTACCTCACTTAATGTTGGTCAGGCAACTTACCCTATTTATACAATTTAAATAACGAATGCTAAGAGCAAAAAAAAAATTCGACGAGCCCGTTACCGAAATGTATAGAAAAACGCCGTTATTTAATCTAAATAAAAATAATTCTTTAATGTTTATAGTTTACGGTTAGGTACGATAATAATATTATCCGTGTTAACATGATCGATGCCTACATCGTCAATGGCTGTCATTATTACGAATATTAAATTATCTAGAGCCAACGCAAGAGTCCATTATAAACTTGGTGACCACTTCCGAATCAATTACAATAATAACATGGTTTGCTGTCTTTTTTTCTCTCTTTCGACATACGACTATTTCATGTCGTGTAATTTATCATTTTTGTATTATCTCGTTAAACACATCGCAGTAAAACGAATATTTCCCCTCGACAATATTATAACAAGAAACGTGCCAAATTATACACACAATATTATGTAACATATTACTGTTTGCCCGCGATAATAAAACCACAACAAAGAGAGTGTCCGGTCGATTACACAGCGGAAGACTAAATTACAAGATAGGTTCGCTGCCTCTGAAAGAGTTGCTGGATTTTTTTATTTTTTAACCGGACTCTGGTCGAGACGTTATCGGATCCTATAATGAAAAACCACCTCGGGCAAACGGTTTCAATCTCGTCTCTACAGTGTAGATCACTATAGAATGCTGCTTTATGCGACTGCATTATTCTGCACTGACGTCAAACGCTGCAGAACGTCTGAGAATTCCAAAGTTTCCGTCGTGGAATCCACATCCGATACGACAAAAGCAAACTCAGTCATTCATTCGGCCGTGACGTCCACTGTAGTGTTTTATACACACAACAACGTATTGTTGTCTATAAACATTTCCTCGAAGCAAACCTCACCAATTGTTATATTATTAAAGTTTGTACCGCTTAAAAGGATTTCAATCAGACCAAGCGTGGGTTCGAGTGTGTTTGCGAGTGCTCGACACAACATTAACCTGTCAATCGTCAAAAGCTTATCATTTTTCTCCATCGCCGCCGGTTCAACGTTCGCAGCTTTCATGAGATACGTCGAAACAGCAAACCGTCAAAGTGTTTCATATTGTTTTTTCACCACTCTTTTAGTTTTGAATAATAAATACCCCATCAAAAACCGGATACGTCGAGTACTACCTACATGAATTTTGAAAAATAAACTTATTACAAACAGTTCAAAAAGATAAAACAGACAAATGAAAACTCCTAGTGTCCCCACTGCAGTACAGATAAAGTAAATATACAGTTTTTATATTTTTCGCCACGACCCATAATTGAATAACGTCTAAATGTGTTGGTTTTTTTTTTGTGACAATTCGAAGGTGTATACTATATCCTGTTAACGAGCAAACGATCGTTATACTCGTGTCGATTATGACTTAAAAAAAAAAAAATTATTATATAAACTTTGTAATCCGAGTTTCGACGAAAGTAATTTTCAGACGTTTATTTTGTTTTTTCTCAAAGTAGTTCTTTTGAAGCGATTGGCGATAATAATAATAATAATAATAATAACAGAGAAGGACAATACGCTTTGAAAATAATAACTGAAATATTTTTACAATCAACAAAGTGTCTCTACGGTTTCCCTGACGACCGGCGTTCATCAAGCACATTCATTTTTTATGTAGTGTTTTGTTTTGTTTTAAATGATTTCCATGATTTGAACAACGATCACGTTACCAACCGACACCACACTCCTAAAGCAGATGACTGTTTTATATTTTAATTTTGTAGCTCTGTCTATTGGTCTTGCCATGCTGCTTTGGCAGTAAAATTCTAAGGAAGAGTATCGTTCATAGCGTATATTTTTAGAATTAACACATCCGAAAATAATTTGGTTGGCTTCAGCTACGGGAACGGTATTTTTTTTTTCAGACCGTTCCCAGTCCGTGCTGATCCATTGATTCGAACACAATAACATTATTGTAATGTGTTTTTTTTTTTTTTTTTGCCAATAATATTATATTAGTTTTCTCCCTTCGGGTTTTTGGCCGTAACCGGGCTTCGTGGATACGACCTAAGGTTTGTGGGGCGATTTTCAGATAAACATTTCACGCGGTCGAGGTCGTCTAGAATCCCGCAGTGAGTAGCTGGTAGTATAATAAAGCAATGACTTTAGCGCGTGCCACGGTAATAAACGTTTGCAACGCGGCGTTACGTGTAGGCAATATAGGTACCGGCACGTCCGGAGGGATAATATTATGTATTCGGCGCGGCAGAGAGCTCAACGCATAACATATTACACATGCGGGTAATAATGATAACATAAAATAATTATTGTTATTATTAGTCGGTTTAACACAACGCAAAACGAAAACCGCATAGCCCACGACCGCCGTAAAGTCGTTTTTCTTAATTGCCGTACAGCTATAATACCGATAATTAGCAATAGAAACGTCTTCACATAAATAATCACATTGCAATTTTTCGGTTCAACTCTCGGATGATGGAAAGGAGAGTCGGATGGGGAAGACGGGGTGAGAAAACGGGAGAGACGGGGGCTTGGACGGGAATGGGAAATCGATAACACATTGATAACTGAAAAAGGGTTACTGATAATAAGCTATAATCAGCTCGTTATTCAGTCATGCACTTCCTCGCTGACATTGACCCACGTCGTCATAGTATCATTGATTTACATTTCAATAACTAATGCGAGACACCGAGAAAAAACATATACTATATAACTGTTGACAATAGATGTTGGTCGGTGATTGAAACTACAGTTTACTTTTACTCGTACAGCAGCGTGTTTTTGATTTGTTAGCCGACCATAACAATATGGTTACACACACACACACATCCGAATTTAACGATCAATGTGCAACAGAGTGGACGGACATTTTTCAAAGAAGTCCACGTCAGAAACAAATCAAACCGACAAAAACCGACGCAATCGGGTCACTGCGGTCGAACCGAGATACCGGGAACTCGAACGGTTCGACCACTCCAAACCAGTACCCTATTATATTTTATTTCATTTTGTACTTGCCCACGACTATCACAAAAAAAGGCCGTTTTAACGCAACAACGGTCTTAGCCGGCTGGTACAGAATACACGTGTCGTTTCACTAAAATATAATATACGACGCCTGGAGACGGACTGGATTAGCAAAGCTCAACAAGAGAGTAGGTATTTTTTTTAATTTTTTTTACTCTATTTCCTTTGGCATGGCCCTTCGCCAAAGGGATCAAATTTAACCATCGTCCGTCCTACGGTAGAGATATTTTAAATACACAATTTGTCACGGACACGCTAACGGGTCCGTCGAAGGTTGTGTAATTTTTTATTCCTGCCTAACTCAATCCACACACCCACAACCCGACGATTTACGGTTCGGGATCGTTTATTTGATTGCATCATATACGCTTTTGGATTTCTGTTGAACTTTTCGACTTTAATCGATAGCGCCCCGTACAACTGTGTTGTTGTGCTGAAACGAAAAATGTAATAAATTACACTTGGCAAACAAACGACCGTGCGGTATATAAGCGACCGGAATGTTTTCTACACAAACGCAATAATATTATTATTGTTTCACATAATGGCCCATAATAGATGTTGCGGTGTTACGTCGCTGTCTTTTGTCCGTGTCAAGTAGAAGTTCAACGGATTTGACAGTTTTATTTTGTTGTTATAGTTTTATAGGACTATAAAAATAAGCCAAAGACTGACATTCCAACATTCGCCATGAGAAATGTGAAAAATATGGTGGTGTATCATTTATCGGTTCCAACATTGTGCTATTATTTTTTTGCCCCCGAACACAATACAAACATCCCAATTTGAAAGAATGATTTATTTAAAAAAGTTTGCTCGCAAATCGTATGACTTACCAATAATACAGTTGTTAATCGGTCGTTTTCGCTTCCTTCAATAAGACATTAACGAGAAACCAATTAAAACCGGTTATTTATTTTTTATTTTTAAGACTATAATGTAAATACTAATTACTATTGTCCGGGGACACTCAGAAACATATTTAAACGTCTGCAATTATTTTAAAAGCTTAGTCGGCATTCTGTTGTTTTCATCAAACAAATATAAAAACATTGTAAACAACAACAAAAAATAAACCGGCAAATAAATAAACATTGAGTAATACTCCCACAAAGAAAGAAATGAAACAACATACCGTTACTGTTATACGTTTTTGAAAAGGAACAAATTTATTGATGAACTAATATATATATATACAAATTTCTTAGTACTAAAAACCAAAAACAATTTATTGGTTCTATTCATTGTGTACAGAAGAGATTATCCGACTTGCTAGTGTAATATCTATAAACGATGTATTATTATTATTATTATGAACATTATTGTAACAACTATCATGAAAATCAAGCTTATTTTTTCGTTAAATATAATTTAGGAATTTCGCACGCATGATGACCCGCCCGTTAATTACCAAATAGGAAAAACACATTTTCAATAGTAACAACAGAGTAATAATCATATTATATATATATTTTTTTTTCATTTTAAGCGATAACTAAAACTATAACGAAGAGTTTTTTTTATTATTAAAGCACATGAACTTAGCTAGTAGATTAATGTTCATTCCTCTTTTTATTCTGTACTTGACAATTTTTAAACAAGGAGGGAGGGCTTACTTCGACCATTCGTTTGATGCAATCAGCTACTGTGCATTACTAATAAATGTTTTGTGTCAGCAGGCCGCGCAAGTTGCCGGCAGAGCCTGGCGGCAAGGACGACAAGAAGAGAACGTACTTGGAATGCAACATGGGAGAGGTGACTTTGCACCATCATGTCTTACACAAGGAATCGCTTCCGGCTGGCAACCTGTACACGACGGCGGCCGGTCGACAAGACCTGTGCAACCCCAAGAACGTACCCGACCTGTTGGATACCGCGTTGCTCCCGGCCAAGAGTCGTCGCCTCTCGCAAACCTTACCCAGGCGAGTCACGTGGATTAGGTTTTCCGAAAAACACTTACACGACCATCCGTGTTCAGCACATGGAAAAAAAATTACATAATGTACTATGGACGGATTTCATACTGTAGAGTACCGCTATAATTACATGAAAACAAACTCATTTTCTCCGATTTCTGGAAAAACATTGGACCACGGATATGCTTTTGGGCAGTGAGTCGGTATATTCAAATGTCAACTAGACAACGTTAAACGATAACGTCATTATGTCTGTGTGGCCATTCCCACCGCTGGCAGGTGCTCATGTTCATGTTTATTTGCAACTCGACCTCATATTTTCAATGATTCTTGCCATCGTTCTCGTCAATTCGCCTATTTCCTCTCTCTATTTGCAATATCCTCCCCTACTTTAAACTCCCCTCCTACCTTTCAAGCTACAATATCTTCCCTACCCTACATTTGTCCCCTGGTCTCTTGTCAGCATCCGTAATCTGCTATTTCTTTTGACTTTTCACTGTCGGGATAGCGGTTGTCGGAATGAAGCTAATTCCATATAGACCCTCAGTACTAAAACACATCCATGTTAATATTATGCCATCTATCAGATAAAGGATTAAATCAATTAAATGGGCAACGCCAAGTGTGATCGCTTTGATGGAAATAAATTTAGTTTGATTTGCTTGTCCGGTACGCCTTTATAAAATGTATACAACACAAAAAGCAAGCAACTCGAACGAAGCCAATTAAAATATCAAATTCGTCGGTCACTCTTAAACACAAAGACCAAAATACGATTAAATATAATTAAAATAACACAAACGCGTTGCCAACATATTATTTAATTTTAACTTTTTAAAGGATCTATGTATCAAACGTTTCAAGTGTAAGCAAGCATATTTTTTTCTCGAACTCTTTTGCAATATGTACAAGTAAAACCTTGTTTAATTACATTTCGAAAGAAGTGCTTTGAAACGTGAGCTTTGGATAAGCCTTTTTTTACGGTATGAATATATTATATAAATATAGTTTTAAAATATATAGGTTGCGCTGGGAATTTTAAAACGCAACCTTTACGTCCAACCCATTCATCAAATGTTCGATCAATGATTTCTCAATATATTATTCGGTCTGTCAAAAACGATAGGGTTATAAAATAATATGTTGTGGATTTCGATTAAAACCAATTATATTAATATATTTATTTTCATTTTATTAATTAAACTATTAAAACGCAAAGCCCACGGTGGGATCAAATTTCTCAAGACTTGATCGGTTTTAAAATGACTTTGGTTTTTGATAACGATGGATTTTTATTGTGCGAGTACAAATTTCCATTTAAATTTAGTGATGTATTTAGAGCATAAAAATTCGGTACCTATTTGGAATAGTGATTAAAGCATGTCCCAACGATACAAATATTCATTTGACCGTTATTAATTCCCGTAAATATTATCAGTATTAATAAATAAATAAAGTTATCCGTATTTTATACATTTTAATGAACGTACCCTACTAAGCTCCGAACTACCGCATTTTACATTTCGATTAATTCCAACAATGTCACAGAATTTTCAATTTTAAATATTTCATTCGACTACTGTTTTAGGCGCAAACCACAAAATTTAATTAAAACTTTCACTGAAACAATATTGCATTATTATGCAACGAACAAAGCACACAAGGTGTAATACCACAACTTGTTTTTAATACATCATCACAAATTTAATATTCAATTTGTTTATAATAAATGTCTGGTATTAGATGAAAATTATGTTAGTCTAGCACTGTGTACAGTGTGATTCATAACCATAATAATAGTATACAATGTTGCATAAACTTTGCGGCGGCTTGAAAAATAAGTATTACCAAATAAAATTATACAAAAAAAAAGAAACGGTTTAAACAACTTTTTTAAAGAAAACAAAAACTAACTACTTTTAACCCATTACGCTTTATAAGTAATACTTTTAACAAATAAAATATAACTTTATGAAAATGCGCTTCACTCGTTTGGTCAATTTTTAGAGAAGTTACTTAAGAAATTTACCCAAACTAATCTAACGAAAACGCTTTAACTTTTTAATTGGCAGTTTTACTTCGGATAAAAAGTTTTATTTAATATTATGTTCAGGGAATGGTTCAGGGCCAATTATTTGCTATAAACGAAAACCACTTTATATTTTAACAATTTAAATACATCCCACGTTGGTTCAGCTAAGTATTCGAACGAAAACCCTTGAGCCTGTATCTTTTGAAAATATCGTCCTTTACAAGACGTTATCTTTCTTGTGTTTGTTTTACAAAATATACTCAAAAACTTTACAGTTACGCCTCTTTTCAGCTAGAACAATATTTCTAATATAATACAATAGTAATTATCTTTGCAGCATTTTTCAGAGTGAAAAAGTCGTTTAACTTTTCAATTTGTTATACGGTCGTTATAATAAAGCTAACGGTGTACATCGTTATTACAGGTCGACGTTTGGCTATAACAATCGACGGAATACAATGTACGCTCCACGAGTTACCTCAGACAGCCAGTCGCCACTACTGAATGGCAGCAGAAGCAGTGGCGGCAGTAACGCCAGCCGAAGTCAACTGTCATTCGACTCTTCCGTCGAATCGGACCATCCCAGGTGCGGAATTATCATACTTGTTTTTTACATGATATTATATGCATTAATTGTCGAATATAATGGTAAATTGTGACAATTCTTTTTTATGAGTAAATCGTATTTAATTTAACGAGTTTAATCGTTGTACCAAAATATATCAAAAGATTTCTTCGACTGGACAATAATTATAATATTAAAAATATACTGTTCGAATACAATATGCATTGTTCCGCTTAACGCTGAAATTGTAATATAACATTATTTTCACTTTGTTATGCATTTCATAGAATCGCGTTTAATATTATTCATTGTCCGACTGAATGAGCAAAATAAAGTTTTTATGAAATTCACCGTCAGATGTTCTGGGAATATGGTCTACTCGAGTTACACAGAATTCATATAGATAACTAAACAAACTATAAACAACAACTGGCAACAAATTTTAACAATAATTGTTACAGTATTTTTTTTTTTTTTACTTTGTAAAAGTATTTGAAAATCATATTTCGACAGGAAATCAAGTAATAAAAACACAAAATCAATTTTTTCTAAGTATATTGTTACTAGTTTATTGTATATAAGTACTAGTTTATTGTTTTATAATATAAAAATTTTAAAACATATTTTGTGTCAATAATTTTCAAATTTTTGCCAAAATCTGATTAATCACAAAACCGTTGTATTACGATAGCACAATGATACTATATTTGCCTTATATTTGTCCAACAAAACTGTTTTAAAATTATTTATGCACAAAACTTAAAAGCTACAAATTCGAGTAACGTTTATAACAGTAGTGTAGTTAAATAAACGGTTTGTGATGTACTTTGTATAGAGCAGAAAAAAACATTGTAACCAATATTTAAAAAAATTATATTTATATAGGTATACCCGTACATACTTTATGTATACTCGTTGAATTATTGTAAAATATCAACAACTATTTAATATTTATACATTGTCGGGGTTAGTGTTTAACTATGACAGATGATGTTTAATGAAATTTATCACTATTAACCTATCTGTCAGCCGACAGTACAATGTGGTCTACCAACGATATTGTTTGCACTATCCGACAAAGGCACATATGCGTATTATCTAGATATGCACTTCAGTCGCGCTGATAAATTGCCCGGCGTTTAATCGCGTTAACAAAACACAATATCATATCTATAATTGTTATTAAATACACAATAATAATATAATGGTTATGAACCCGCACGGAATATTATCTCTGATAATTAACACACGGCGTGTCACTATTGATTTTGCTAACCATACTATGCCTATATAATTTAAGTGTATCATATTTTTCGGACACAGCGATAAAGTCAATATTTGCCATAAAGCAATTAATGGCGCCAAATGGAATTATTCACAGTGTTTAGTACATTTTTGTATAATCATTAAAAGCGCTCAGCCGCCGCCACTATCGCCGTATAAACATTAAACTTTGTTTTCATACGTATTAAAATGAACAGGTCTTATACAGAACATTTTTGGAGCTCATTGTACTCGGAGAAAAAGCTTTGAATAGAATTATATAGAAATTTAAGTAATAATAATTGGTATCGGTTAAAAAAGAGAACCAATTAATTAAGTATTATGCGCGATTGAAAGAGACGAAAAGAGGTAATATGGGACTTGAGGTTCCTAAAATTCAAAATAACTTGGGTCTAATACTGAACACTCTGTTCTTCTTCTTCACAGTATCCCATTCAAATGTATTCAGATTTTCAACAGTTTATTATTCACTATAATCCCTAAATCCATGTCTTCAGTTTTCACATGTTCGGTCTATCTCTACCTCTAAATCACATTACGCCAATTCTTACCCGTTTCATTTGTCTCCTTTCTTCGAACTCATCTAATCTTAATTAATTCTACTACTAAATAATATACATTTTTATTTTTTGGTAAAAAAATACTCTCAATTCTAGTCATTAACTATTAGACACTTTAGGAGTACCTAAAACAGGTTTTATTTATCGACGATAAGATTGGTTAGGTTAGCATTTTCGGTCTCAAAACACATTAACGTTTATTCCTGTTTGCTCTCTCTCAAAAAACCCATTTTTGGGTGGAAAACTATTGTCCAACGCAAGTCTAATGACTGTTTTTTATTTTTCTTTAGACGTTTGTCGACCAACCAAAAGTCAAGTAGCTTCCTGAATCTGTCCACCGGGTACGCCGGCGGTGGCCACCACGGCCGTGACCAACAACACCATCAGCCGCACTACTGGACGCCACCAAGTCTTCCGTCGTCCCCGGCCAGGGAACGCAGGTTACCCGCCACGCCGCCCGTCAGCAGATCGGCGGCGATGGCCGCTCTGGCGTCCATGACGGCCGAGACGCCCATTCTGGATCCTCTGTCGTCCAGACGCCGGTTGCCGCATCACCAGAGCCTAGGCGGTTCCAATCACTCGTTGTTGTCGTCGTCGGACGGCGCGTCCATCACGTACGACTATCACACGGCGCAGTTGGACATGTTCCTGGAGGAATACAAGCACTTGCGCAAGGAGCTGACCAAGATGCAGCGGACGTGCGACACGCTTAGGTTGTCTAACGCGTCGCTGGCGTCGTCCCAGCTGGACGTAAAACCGGAACAGCCGACCGTGCGAACGCCAAAGTCCATACTAAAAAACCGCAACCAAGCCACCTACGTGTACACCGGCGGCGGCCGTCGCAGCAGCCTGCACCAGTTGGACGCCGCTCTGCAGCCGTCAGACGAGCCATACCTCGGTTAACGCGCTTGACGTCGTCACCGGTCAAGAACGTGTCAACAGCGACTGATTTTTTTATTTATATGTTTTTTGTTATTATACATATCGCGATAAAGTGAGAAAACCGCTGTTTTTTAACCTGAGTAATACTAGTGTTATTTCGGGTATTCTGTAGAGCTATAACTAGCAGGCAAATCATTTTATAATAAGACAACGTTGAGGTAAATTGGATAGTGTTAGTAGGAAAGGGTACAAGTCTAAAATTATAGTTTTCGAGAAATACAACAATTCTTATAGAAAAACTATTTTTTTTTTTTTAGCTAATAAATTAATACTTTTGCAGATTTTTTTTAATGTTTAATGATTTGTGACCTTTTTCGCGTGAAAAATACTTCAAAACAATTAACCACTTATAAAGGGCTATTAGTAAGCCCTTTGCAAAGAAAAAACAATGACTTGTGCTCGTACGCAGTAAAGTACTTGAAAAAATTGTACTTGTATTAAATTTGTAAAATTTTTAAATATTATAAGTGATTTAATTTTTCTGAGAGACACAAAAATTAAAAATCACGTCTGACCACTTTTGTTAAGATATTCGCTCAGGACTAAAATACTTGTTGATAGCTGTAGATGTGTCCAAAGGAGAGGCAAGCGCAGATAGAAGAAGATAAAAGGGAAATGTATGGTTAGTTTCTCCAAAAACATTTGAAGACCTTATTCCTAAATAAAATCCAATGAGTAAAAGTTTAGTACATATTTCGCTGAAATTGAAATTTAAAAAATCAGACCATTTTTTTAAATATAATATTGTTTTAACGTTTCATTGAATCCATTCACGTACACTAACTCTTAAGACCGGTTAAGAGTTTAAGGCGTTATGATGGTTTTTAAACGTTTTGACATTTGTTTTATTTTTATTATAATAAAAAGTAAAATACAAAAAAAAAAACAATATTTACGGTAAACATGACCGAGGTTAAACATAAGCCGTAGTAGGTCACAAAATGGAAAATTTCATAAAATAAAAACTGCCATCCGGTCACGGAATCATAATGTGCATAATATTAAACAATTTACGGTGTTTATGCCAATGGTCGATTAAAATTATTAAACGAGCTTGGAGTAGAAATATGACGTTTTTTTTAAATAAATATTTGTTTAAATAGTTAACATAATAATAAGAAATAAACGTTAAATAATTTTTACAATTTCGGTTTAATTTCACCGTTCGCTGCTCGTCTCGTAGAAAATAATAATAATTACAAAACACAATTTACAAAAATAAACACACAAAAAGGGAAAAATGTTTTAAAACTATTTTTTCGTACATAATAATGTAATTTTCTTTTCTTATTTTGTCGAAAATGGGATTTGATTATGCCTTCGCAGATTTTTTTTTATATTATATTGAAATCTTATTTCGAAATATACGAACGTTACTCGCCCGTTAGATTTTCTTTTAATAACTTTGAAACATAATTATTATTTTCCCGCTTGTAAAAAAGTAAACGCGTTTTACATTTATAATATCAATAATTGAAATGGCCGATTTGTGCGCTCGCCCAAAACTCAGTTCAGAAACTGAATTAAGCGCATAAACGTTTTTAACGACAACGGAAATAACAATAATAATAATATGGTAACGACAGATTCGTTTGACACGTCTTATTGTCGAGTTTACTTTATAACCGTTTACAAATAAAAATAACTATAATAAATATCAACACAATATTATAATGTACTATACTGTTTGGGAAAATTTCATTTAACTCGTCAACAGTAAAAAAAAAAAATATATATATATATATAAAAATACATTAAATAATAATAGTGGAAAATCTCATTTAAAATTGAATTAATCCGACGGTTAGCTGGTCGGCAGTCGTTTCAGAACGAGCGCCATTACAAATTTAATATAATTGCTGGGTTTCCGGCATTTTCAATACCGGTAACCGGTAACCTAACCATATACCCGGTATACCGAATATTCGGTTAGTTACTGCTTAATAAATACCAATAGGTAACCGGTAAATACCGGACACGCGATATTCAATTAAAATATTGAAATATTTTATAACTAACATAGTGTTAAAATTATTTAGACGCTAACACGTTGCCTAGTCGATTATTATTGTATTGTTGTCTTAATTTTTAGTGATGTTTATAATATTGTTTCAGTTGATGGTTTTATACCATTATTATTAACCATTACGTGTAAAACATATAAATATGAAAATATATTAGTATACAATTAAAATATCAAATGCATAGTTATGTGTATTCGACTTTATTTAGTGACATAAATCATAACGTATAAATAAATAGTGATAAAACATTGTAAACTAGTAAAATGTGTGTTTCATAAAAATTATCATAATAAATACGGATAAAAACAATTCTCTGGGACCTAATCAAAACGATCGGTAAACCGAAATACCCGCATAAAATTTCGTTGCGTAAACCAACCGTCTGTCCTAGACTTTTTTGTACTTTCTTCTATCGGTATAAGATAAATACCGGTGCAGTAACTCTCAATGCAATCAAAATAATAGATATTAAGAATTTGATGAGAAACAGTTAGACGGTTTAAAACTACTTAGAACGCTAGTGAAGGGTTTCAATCAATACAGGGACATTACTCGAGGTAATATTTCGAATTTTAATTAAACATGTTTTTTTTTTTCTACATAACATCCATTCGTTTTGTCCTTTGTTTTTTTCTACCTCATATTATTTCACTGTTTTGTTTGCATTTCTAAACGACTAACTAACCTTAGCTATCTAAATCCAGCCCAACCTACTAATTATCATCTTCTTATAATTATAATTATAAGTGTACGGCTATGTGTGTAGCTGGAAACAATCTATAAATATATAAAATGAAGATGGTAATTTGTTTGCAGTAGGGTAATGTCAAAAAATGTAATTTGTATAGACTTTATAACATACTAATGTATTACCTAATACCTATTGAACGTAATAATTACTGTTAATCGTTAAATACTTAATATTAATTACAAATATAACTAACTACTAAATTATTGTGACTATGTATAAAATTATGTATAATGTGTTGAGTTTTCAGTGTATCGAATCATTTGTATGATTTTGAAAAATGTATAGTTATTATACTAAATAATATATTATTGTGTTATCGTTTAGACATGCTATACCTATATGTTAATTACTATTATTGTAAACTTGTTCTAAATATATATAAATTGTGGAATAATTTAATAAACCATATAGTGAGTTGTCTTTTTTTAATAAGTTATCTGTCGAATTTTATGCTTTGGAAAATATCAGATGGAACTTTTATGTTACTCTGTAAAAACTAATAGTGAAATAACGGGTCCTTTTTGTATATTGTATATACTAGTTTAAGCTTAGGAATAAGATCACTCATTCTTTTTTCTACATTTTTTATGTCCAAGGTAATATGGTTTAGAGTTTGACAACATTGCTAGGTGAGGTTTAAGTTGTCGAACAATCAGTTATTGAGTTTTCCCTAAACACGAAATATATACTTTTTAAACACATTTAACGCATCGCCACAAAATCTTAATTTTGAACTTTTCCCTGTTCCGCCAAAGGGCCCGAACAAAAGATGATTTATTAAAAAAAATATACTTTGAAATATGTCAATCTCCAATCCGACATTTTATCTTACCCGAACGAGTCTTCGTCTTGGAAATATTATAGTGAATGTATTATTAACACGATGCATATACACTGCCCCGGCTTGATTCACACGGTATAATCGTATTAGCCGGCACGATCCGAAGCTTAAGTCGAAAGGTCGCCTTTTTGTCCGGAAGAGAAGAGCCCTTCTCTTTTACACACACAAGATATATGATGATAGATATGACACACGTAGCGCTTTTGTTAGCTGATGACGCCCAAATGATTAATTAAATCAGTCCGGTGATCGACTCTCGGCCAACTCGAACAACATGTTTTCGACGGGTTTAATAGTGTTATTCCATGGTTCCGGTTAAACGTTTTCGCACGTGTACCGGCCAATGTGTTAACATCTAGTGCAAACATTCAATTAATTACCTACCATTATATTATACAAAATGTCGTAACGAATGTGTACAAATCGGACGGTTGGACCCGTCTTGTAATTATATTATTATAACGTGTGGTACACGTCCGGTGGGCCTGCACTCGAAAGCTGTAATTTATTTTAATAAAATCGATCAAGGCCTTCGCTTAAACGCCGAATATTATCTGACCGATCACCGCACCGCCGTGGCTCATTGATTTAAATTTTGAATGTTTTCAAAAATACCCCCCTCCCCCCTAGAAAACCAACAAGAATATTTAAATAAAAAAATTAGTAATATAATAACCGCCCATCGCAGTAAAAATAATATAGTTTATTGGTCATAATAATTCCACTATAAACTATGATCTCTACCATATGAACTGAACTGTGACGTAATCGTAATAGTCCAGTCTACAAGTACTTAGTACCTTAGAAAAATTCCGACTATAATGAAATTTTGGGAAGTTGTATTGGGTGTAGTGCTTCGCATATCCCCCTGTGGAATTTTGGAGAGGGGAAAACCCCAAAATTTTCATACTTTTTTTGGTTTTTCCGATATATTTCAAAAACGGTTGATCTTAGCTTTTAACTTTATATTAGTAAATTGTAGAAGACTAAATTTCCTACAATTTTTATTGGTAAAACGTTTTGTTTGATTGCATAGGTACTGAGATACAGAGTTTTGAAAAAGTACAAAATTGTAAAAAACTACTAAAAAGGCTGTTTTTTTATATTTGTTTTTGATTTTGCAACATATTTAATGAACTTGTGGTTACTACTTCTATTGGCATACGTTCGGCCTTCTTCCCCTCCCCCATAACCGAATCGATTCCCCTTCTCTGAGGAAGCACTACTGGACACCCATATACAACTTCCCAAAATTTCATTAAAGTCGGAATTTTTCGAAGGTACCTCCCCCCCCCCATTCCGATTTGACCCTCTGACGCCTGGACATAATGTTTGTAATTTTTACTAAATTTGATAAAATATTAGTTGTACCTAAAGGCAAAAACAAGCTCGGTAAAAAAAAGAAATTTTTTTGTAATAGTTTTACTATTGGTTTCATCACTATCGTGGTTATTTTGGCTTATAATATAAAATAATTATTTATATACCGCCTACAAATAAATAAAAAATAAATTGTTTCGATAAATAATAAATGATTTTCTATGACATATTTTAGCCACTTAAAACGATAAAATAATTAAAACTAATGTGTAACCTATTAAGTTTATACAACGTACTTTAATGTCTTGTTTTTTTTTTTTTTTAAATAATGTAGTTAACTTTTTTTAACTTAATATAAGTTCTGAAAATAGGAATAAAAAACTTTAATGTTAGAAAGTATTGAAATGTATTAGGTAACAAAACGTTGGTTTTTAACACTTTGGAAGTGATTTAAGAAAAGTGTTCTTGAAAAGAATTCGAGACCAAATTCGTATTTAGGGACAAAAATTAAAAAAAAAAATACATTTTGATTGTTGATTCAACATTTTGAATTCCACAGTGTTACTTTATAAAATATTTGTTTATTCAGCATATTTAGCATATTTATTAAGTTTTGCTTAATTAGTGAAAAATTAAAATTATTTAAATTTAAGTTTAAAAAAAAATCTTCCTTGAACTAGTTTTACAATAAATTAATGCCATCGAAACGGGTTTTTATCATTCTTCTGTAACGGTCACATTTAAACTGTCAAAGCCTACAACATGAGTCCATCTATAAGAAAGACGTGCAACTAAACATCACCGTGTAACGCTATCTAGAGTTCAACTTTATCATTAAAAGTATTGTTATTTTTTTCTTCTTTTAGTCATAAATTCAAGTTCCCCAAAGTGCCATCGTTATACAGCATATTATGAAATTTACATCAATACTTAGGAGTCATTCAACATAAAAATAATGTCAAGTGCTCCACTGTAATATTATTCGTTTGTATACACAAGCATACATTATATTAAAAATGTACAAATCTCTATTTAAAAGATAAACATTGGATAAAGTTATGTTATAGGATATTATTACAATACTAGTATACCTAGAACAGAGGGCGGTTTCATTTGCTCTTTAGCTAACCCGATAAAATTGCACTTCCAATATAATTACTGTATTTTTAGTATAAATTATACGTATAGACGCGTTGCCTGCTCTAACTTTCCCGTAGATCATAATTTGTTTGGCCAATTGCCCCCTTAACGATTCAATTTCTATGAAATTCTATGAAATTTCTATGAATATTTTCGGCAAATTGGTTGACAAGATCTTGACTGTGTCTCAGTCCTCGAGAAAAAATAATATACTGATTTGTAATTTCTCCTACCTCCCTGGATATTAAAAATATTACTTTTTCAAATCTCCATATATTATATAAAAAAACTAATTTTTTTGCCTGTTGGTATATACTTTATTATTCCACTGTCAAATATAAGTTAGAATTAAATAAGCAAAATATATTTTTAAAACAAAAGAAGCAAAGCTCTAAAGAATTTATGTTGAACTGTAAATCAGGCAAATTAAATTAGTATTCGTTTTCACGACCTTTTTACATTATAAATAAAACGTTGATGTTGTACGAAGCTACAACGACAAATCTGTCGGATTTGATGAATAAACAAAAAAAGACCCGGAAAAACTGCGCAAAGTAATATTTCACACAAAGTCAATCCATACCAGTCGATAACGGTTGTATCGTTTTTCACTACCCGTGAACCAATATGAGGGTTATTTAACAATGCAAAAGTCTGCAAATCGATATAAATATAGTTCCAATGCCGGATGTACGTATTTTGTAATAAAAAGCGTCAGCACGCAGCGTTCAGTTATTAATCATTTCCGCCCCTCCAAATTAATAATTTCAACGTTGCGTCGGTAGAATTAAAGAAATATACTTATGTGATACAATATAAAAAAATAATGGTCATGTTTTTGGAACAAACAATAATGGATTACTTAACGTATTGGTGTAATTGGTCTCGGGAGAGACAACAAGAAAACCGTAGAGGAATTTTTTTTCTAATTAGAGGTAAAATAACCTCTGCGTTATGCTTAGAGAGCAAGTGGTGAATAGATAGAGTGGTATTAAAGAATTTGCTATCAGTTATGTAGAATAACTGGAGGAATTGAATAAAAGACTAGTTTAGGATGTAGAGCGATTTAGAGGTTTGGATTGAATGAACAAATTTATGAGGCGCGGAATAACGATTTGTACAGAATGTGCATTTGACTAGCCAATCCCTTTTGATTGAGATAATACTAAGAAATACAGTATTATTGATCTAATAACATTGGACAAAGTGAAGGAAGGGTGGGATATGGGAGTTTAAGCCGTTCCTTCACAACAAATGATTTACCAAAATGTTGTGCGAGTTTGAGAATTCTGAACTCATATTTCCCATATTTGTCAACGGTAGTCATGGGTTCTTCGACAGCTTATTATTAGCATGAATTCGCACCTCTTAAACGACTGAAAAAACGTCAAGATTTTCGGGTGTGTTAAAAACGATTTATTTACTAGAGCCCAGAAAATGGTGCGGTTTTATTTTGACAGATACCTAGGGCGGAAAACCCATATAATTATCTTTAGGGGTGGAGCCACACATATTCAAATTTTCACATAAACCGTTATTCTAGTCATAAAACGTCTTATTAATACTCACATTAGATACAATTTGTGCATATTGTTTAAATGAAAGTTCTTTGCTGAAATAATAGGTAGTTATAAAGTCAATTTTTCGTGAGATGCTGAACTTGTGCTAGAAATGTAGTGGTATGAGCTAGAGTTTATAGGCTTTGTTGGAGAAAATAAATCGAGTAAACAATTCGAATAAACAAGTTAACGAATTAATACATTTAATAACCGAGTAAATAAAATCTAGTAAACAAGTAAATTAACCTAATTATCTAGTGAATAAATCGAGTAAGTGAGTAATTGAGTTGAGATTATTTTATATTGTTTATTATAACTATTTGTTATTTTGTAATCATAGTTAGGCAAAAATTTATCACGCAAAAAAACCTCACGAATTTTTTTGGTTCACCCTCAGACTAAAAACATTATCTATCATGTTAAAACTAGGTAAATAAGAAAATTAAATTTTTGATTTTGCATTATTTAATGTCACGTTTAACAATTTTTCTATCATTGTTTTTGTGTAGTTAATTTTTAGTGGTCAAGTACACCCGCTATAGCCACTTTTTTTAAATTTATAAGCATAGTGTATTTTGTCATGCGATAAGACCTATCCTCATTCATAAGACAACACTAACTATTGAATTTGAATAGAAAATTCAGGTGACCGTAGACGGGCAATAATAAAGTTGTTAATGCGGCCATAGGTCTCCCACCCTATAGTGTAGTTTTTTTTTACACGTTTTTTGTTATTATATTTTATTATTAAAATTAGATTATGTCACGGCGAGCACATTAAACGACATGTACAAGACGGACAAGTCGGGAAAGGAGTGAAGGGGTGATTCGGTAAGGCGATGAGGGAAAGCGGGGGCCGAGTCAGTCACTTAGTAGGAAAACGCTAACGGCGAGCGCGACAAGGGAAGAAAACTCGTCGAGGGGTGGCAAGTACAAGTGTGCGCGTATGTGCGGGTGCGAAAGAGTGTGAGCTAGGCAAGGGGCGGGGATGGAATATTAGCACACGGCGCTAGTTTCGGGGAAAGAGGGGGCTAGGCACCGAACGGCGCGTGGGGGGTGGACGTATATTCGGGGCGCAGGCTTGCGCGTACGCCGGCGTTTCTTATCGATCGCGCGCGCCAAGCGGCCGTCTGCTCCGCTGGTCCAGTCTCGCGGTCGCCATATTGCGACGAGCTTTACACGCCGTACACTCTGCGAGGGGCGCGACGCCGCCAACATGGACTAAACAACGTTAACGCATTACGCCATATCGCTTACACGGTGCACGCACAGGCTGTCCCACAGGACAGGTCTCAGGACGTCCGCGCGCGAGACGAGACACGTCGTTTTCGTTGATTATAATAATAATAATAAATAAATAAAATAATACTGTAAAATTAAAACGACCTATTACTATTGTATAAAAAAAAAATCGGTGATTTCGCAGTGGTGACCGCGGTGAAACGTATATTATATTATATTAGTGTGGTTCGAACGGACTGAGCGCCGGTGTGGAGCCATCATCAGCGGGACGACGACACGCCGCCGGTTCGAATTTCGGCCGTCTACGACGCGGGTAAGCTAGACTGATGATGATAATATAAATCATATACGTTTACTGTCATATTAATAATAATTATGTACAACAACGTGGCACGATATAGTGCTGCACGGCCTGCTCGTTAGGCAGTTTACCCGATAGATAGCATTCGTTAATGGATGTTATCTGTGTATCGTTACCGCGGTCGAGCCCCGTCGAAAGATTGTTGACCGCGGCCGAGTGAACGTTGTCAACGCGGGCGAACGATCAACGGCCGTTTGACCCAATTCCGCTTGAGCGTATATAACCGACAACGACCTCCCCCCCCCATCCCCTAAGCACCGGAGGCCTGAGTTAAACAACCCCCTACCCCAACCCCCGTGCAAGGCCGAGGTTAATCTTATACATCGTTTTATCGATTCGGTCGATTGCAAAGGCAGCCGAATCTTCGAGATCCGTAAGTAGGCCCGCGATAGTGGATTTTTTGGGCCGTCGTGTTGGGGGGAGGCGAGAGGGGGCACACCCCTTCGATGTAGGTCACGCACGGGCCGAACCGACGGCGGGGGCCGATGGGAATAGTGTTGTGTTAACGACCAAAACGCGAAAGAGGGTAAACGCGGTGGTTATTTGTTTAAAATATTATCGTGTATAGGTATCATCGTGGTCATTATTGTTATTCGGCCTGACGAGGCGTAAAAACGATAATTAAAAATAAAAAACCAACCGACTAATAGCGGACGCGACTCGACCGGCGCGAACATGGTGTGTGGGAAAATGCAAAATAATTATATTGACTTACTGAATTGTTTTCGAGGGGAAGCTTCATAATTTATACGGACGGAAATAACACAAACAGTAACGACGGCACGAAGGACAAGCGAAGCAGTGTCGGCGTGCCGTTTACCAAAGAAGAGAGAGAGGGGGGGGTGAACTTGTCCAGGGACGCCAGTTTGATTCGTAACGCTTAAAAATAATAGATTTAATCTGTTTTGGAGTATAGTGCATTTCGTAGATTTGGCGATATAAACCGAGTTTTTTTTTTTAAACCCAACCCAAATAAATGTTTGCCGGTTTGTACAAACCCCGTAAAAACTATATTTTAAATAAACACCTAAACGTTTGCTGGGTTTAAAATCAAAACCCAGTGTTTTTTTTTCTGATTCTTTCGTGTCATCTGCGTTCCTTGTTGTCCACTTTGGTTCTATCCTGGTACACTACCGATTATCGGCCAACGACGATCGTTTAAGTGTTTTTGAAGCTCGTGTTGTTTTCCAGTTTGTCGTCGTTGGTCGTAAAAAACGCATAGTGTGTTGTGTGTGTGTACGTACTGTGCGAGTGTCGATCGATCAACGCACGATGGATGGCGGCCGACGGTAGAAGAACGCGACTGACGGTTCGGTAATAATCCAAAGTAATGTAGTATTTTCTCCCCGTAAAGTGGGTTTTTTTTTTTTTTACATTCCTACTCGTCCGTATTTAAAAAATATATTAGGGAGTCCCGAGGGAATACTTTCACGCCGCACCAATCCCAATGCCGCGGGAAACGTGGCTAACGGCTCTTTTGGATTAATATCAACCGTATTTAGTAATACCAATGTACGACTAACGTATTTGGCTTCGGAGGCAAGAATAAATATCGTCGTTAGACTCGGTAAACGAATTAGATCACGGCACGGGCAAGTCATTGACGGAGACACACCCGGGCAGAATTTACAAGACGGTAATCACATTACCTAATAATGATTCCCGGGCGTCGGATCGGGTTTTTATATTATTATAATATGTCGTCTTGGTCGCGTTCAAATCGCCCGTGAAGCGTTTTCGGCCTCGTGTGAAAAACGCATTGGTTTTTGTTTTTTGCTTTGGTTCGCATGTTTTTCTAATATACCTATCAAACATAATGTTATCGTATTGTAACCGTTGCCGGCCGCCGTGCCGAGAGTTTTATAAGTTAACAACAACTATATAATATTAATTAAATAAAAACACAGAGCGCTCGATAACGGCAGACGTTTGGATAAACAAAAATAATGTTATGTCAGTCCGTCGATTTCATAACGATTGCAAACACTTGTATTATACTTGGTGGCATGTCTGACAACTACTCCAACTATAGAATAGTACATACACAAAACACTTTCACGCTTTTTTGATGAACAATCCAGCGCCTGTTGTGAACCACTTTCATTATAAAAGTTTACCTATTAAAAATTCAGATATCGCTCACCAAAATATAATGATACCCGCCAAGGCAGAGAACTTATAAATAACTAGTGTGCAACAAATAAATTATTAGGATTAGGCAGAAGCGTAGGTATAAGTCTTTGACTAACACTTTTGTTTCGAACAGACATATTATAGTGTATCTATAATAAATGAAATACAGTACACCACACCCCTCTCTTAGGTACGCCATAAGAAAAAATACTGTTTTACTAAAACCACTAACTAATGTCTTGGTACAAATTAATACACAAAAGATATTCACTGAAAACCCTGACGTGTATCACCTTATTTACTATCACATTTCTTTTATAATGTTTCAAAATTATGTGTTTTTCTTTTGCTTCTGAAACCACGATATCTGTTGTATTATTAATGATGTATATAGATCATGAAATGTACTTCGTAAGACCAAAAGCTTGATAAGTTCTTTAATATTGAGAATAATCCCATAAAAAATGTATGGAATCATTCATAAAAAAATGTTGTCATTATTATCAATTTAACAAGTGGTAACTTCGTGAAAACAACACCTAAGATAAAAAAAAACCATTTTATAATAAAAAATTATCAAATAAAATGTTGACCTAAAATAACCGTTCAAAATACATTAGGTATTAAGTGGATCATTCTAAGTTATAATGTTCAATATATGATATATTACAATGTTTGTATCCATTGTACGCGTCCTTGCTGATTTAATCTCGCCCATAATAAAACACAAAATATATCGAAACCATCGACCAGAACTAACCTATTACATTTTCCGGACAACAATATTTTATTTCGGACTAATATTTTAGCGTATAACATTATACGATATTAAAGTCGGCTTAAAAAACATTTCAGTAATACCAAAGTTAGACTTTACAAATTGGCTCGATATGTAGCTTAATAATCCTAATAAATTTGGCGCTTATGACGATTGCCAATTGCAATAATATATTATTATAAAAGTACATACTACACCCAATATAATAGTGTCACTGCGTTTGAGAGACGCACATTGTAATGAACACAACGGCTACTTACATACAAACATAATAATATTATTATGCAATAATACAACTTGTCTAGGTTATCAACGAAAAACACCGTAGACGGTCTACAACATGATATTCGCAAACGGTTAAATATATTGTGAATGAAATAGTCGGGAGTTTGTACCGCATATCGCACAAAGGTTTTCATCTCAGCCACGACTTATCTCGCACATCCGTTAAAAAAAGTCTGTGTATTGTGTGTGATTTTTATTATTGTCATTGTTGTTACCCGCCCGCGTTTGTCGAACGAATTAAACCGCTTTCTTGCCTCGATATGTTACGCAGTTTAAGACGACCACGTTAAGTACACCGTTCGGTTAGTGTATACAACAGCACCTCATTGATGTATTATACGACCTGTGTACACACTAAGAAGCCGTACCGATAATTCATTCTGTTCAAGTCGACTCGTGACAAGAAAGTAAGTAGCCATATTATCCGAGCCCCGACTTGAGGCCTGTTGACCTAAACTCACACGGTACTCAAGTCGTATCCAAAATAAACACGGGGCACGTGCCCGAGACCCGAAACAAACGTCCAGTCGTTTTGTTTAAGGACTTGTGTCCTTTTAAATTACTACCACGCGGGTAAACTGTACAAGAATGTAAATTTTCTAAAAAAAAAAACAAAAACAACTTGTTTGTTTCAATGAGTCCTCGAGTATATGAAATCAAATAATGTTATCCTGGATACGGTTCAGAGCAGAAATAGTAAAGCTATATTACATATATAAATTTCGTTATATACTGGTGAAAAATCTTTTGTAAAACCACTTGTCGAACAATAGCTAGACATTTGTTCAAGTAGCTTAATGTTGTTAACTATCTAGCGAACCCTGATTTCAACTTGTAGCTCTACCAATATGTTAACAACTATATTTAGTTTACCACGTTTTTATTAACTCACTTTCTTGTTTAATATTATCACCTAGCGTGTCAATGAGGTAAGACTGGCCTCAATTGTTTCTCTTCAGTTAATTATCATTTTTAGTTTTTTATTGCAATGACACTCAACGGTTGAACGATTGGAGAACTGACAACAATCAAAGTACTCTACTTATATGTATGTCCCCGGTTCAGACAATGACGATTTCTTACTTTGGGCTACTAACATAGACAAAGAAAACACCCTCTTACTTGTTGCTTAAAGTTCAGTAAGCAGCCCACTATTATCCAATTCTAGTAAATCAACAACCCCGCATGAACTCGTCTAGTAGATAAATAAACACTTTAATGTTTGATGTGCTTTAAAAACACTTCTCGTGTAAAATAATATTTTCCAAAGTGACTATCCTTTATAATAATCTAAACTTAGTGCTTGGCAGTTCATGGACGTTGATGCACTATAAATAGTGTGTCTAAAATTAAATTCCTATTCGATATAATATATTGATTTGATCACATAAAGTGTCCCAGAATTAGTCCCAAAACTCTCTTGAAATATTTTAACGTCTCTCGAAGGTACTCGTTATGGAACCTATCGCCATTATGCCTAAATCAATTTTCTGAACGTTATAATATCTAATAATTATAAAATAGTTATCTACGTTAACTCTAAGATGTGTTTTATATACTTCCCAAATTTAAATTTCCTCTTTTAAATTCATTCTCGAGAGCCGAGTGTCAAAATAGCAACGAAACCGGTTAATAAGTTATTACTTATAAGTAAACATATATCACTATCTGTTAGATGTTGTATTGGACGTTTTATACACCATCCGCTCGTTTATAATAATATTATGGGTTTTGTAATAATTACTGTTAAATGATC